TGTGATTGATCTATGAAAGGTGGATCGTGCTTCAGTTTCTAAATTATTGGGAAGAGATTAGTTGTTTAGATAATATGAGCTCGGTTATGGACCTCCTCGGTTTTGTATGGTATATATTCATTGTACGATTTAGTATGATTTCCTCTGTGAAGGAAAATTTAGGGGAAACTGGTAAGGTGTGCGTGACTATGACTTGAGACAGACTTGGATGTTACTTATTCTTAAGGGTTTCCACAATTTTTCATGTCTTAATAGCACAGTTAGTTATTGCATTTAGTGAATTACTAAAATTAGTTAGGTGTTGGTGTCTGAAAAAAGTTAAATCAGTCTTAGTTCTTCATTTGGGGTTTTGTGGAAACTGATGAGCTATTATTACATGTTTGTTGTTCTATTTGCTCCGAAATATAAATGATTGTGTGATAATACTTGTGTGATCATAGGAGCTAAAATAGGTTGCCGTCGGATAGTAAATGAGTAAGATGCATCCTCCGAGGAGAAATCCCTTTAGATCCATATGTGGTCATTTGTGTCTTATATTTTTTTTAACAAAAAAGTAAATGTTGGTGTGTGGCTTTCAATTAAATAAAAATAAAAGAGAGAAAAAATGACTTCATGCTCACTGAACTGGACGAACTGTGCTAATGACAAAGGGAGGAAAACCCTTTACCAATTAAAAGAAAGAAAAATCCAAATAGAAGGCACAAGAGCTAAAGATCAAATCAACTGTGTTGTTATGGATGTCAGTTGAGTGGTAATTTGAGGATCTTATGTGAAATTATATCAACTCACATCAACACAATTTCATAACCTCATAAATTTCAAAATTTTGTATATAAGTGCAGCGGTGGGGGTCTTGTGGCATTCGCTGAGGCTAAATCAAACGACGGAATAAATGCTGTCAATTCAATGGAGGCTGATAACAAGAAGAAAAGAGTGGTGGTACTTGGAACTGGTTGGGCTGGAACTAGTTTCTTGAAGAACCTGAAGAACTCGTCTTATGATGTTCAGGTGATATCACCCCGCAACTTTTTCGCATTCACCCCATTACTGCCAAGCGTGACCTGCGGGACAGTAGAACCTCGCAGTATTGTAGAGCCAATACGCAACATTGTGAGAAGAGTAAGTTTTTTATAGTGACACTATAAATCCTGACCTCTATGTTCTTGTTTCCAATTATCTTCAAATAGTGGCAAAATGAATGAACAATAGTATCAGACTATCAGGTTGCTTTGACGTTCTTGTTGTCCCACTTTTCCCTCTTTGTGCTTCGATGATCCCACTGCATTTTACTCTCTCTCTCTCTCTCTCTCTTAATCAGCATATCTGTTTGACTAATTAAAGGCGTGGAAAATTTTAGCAACTTGGTCTGATCCAGTTTAGACTTTGATCACTTGGGTTTTTTTCTCACCTCCATTAAGTACACTGATTCATTTTAGCAGCTTTGTGTGTTCGGCTGTAGTTCTACCACTTAGTTGACTCTGTCTTTCAGAAAAATGTTGGTATTCACTATTGGGAAGCAGAGTGCTTCAAGATTGATGCAGATAACAAGAAAGTTTACTGCCGATCTAATCTGGCTGGCAACGAAAACGAAACTGAGGAGATTATTGTCGACTATGACTACCTTGTGATTGCCACTGGAGCCCGTGCAAATACATTTAACATTCCTGGAGTGGCTGAAAATTGCCAATTCCTGAAGGTAACATACTCAGGCTCCTCTGCCTTCTACTAGTATTATCATTACAACAACAACAACATCAACATAGCCTTTTATTCCCAAGCAAGTTGGGGTAGGCTATTCTACTAGTATTATCATTATCCTCTTTATTTAATCAGATGTCCAGGCTTATTGAAATAGATTCGTGTAACTTTTATCTCGTGCAGGAAATAGAAGATGCTCAGAGAATCCGAAGGACAATTATTGATTGTTTCGAGAGGGCCAGTTTGCCTAACCTAACTGATGAAGAAAGAAAGAAGATCCTCCATTTTGTCGTCGTTGGTGGAGGTCCTACCGGCGTAGAGTTTGCAGCAGAACTTCATGATTATGTGAATGAAGATTTGGTCAAGTTGTACCCCAAGGCCAAAGAGGCAGTCAAGATTACTCTTCTTGAAGCTACTGACCATATTCTGAACATGTTAAGTTTCTGTTTGCTTAAAGTGCATTCATTTAAAGACACTTTTATGTATTACCTACTGCTGCTTTACTGAAACGTATTTTGATTGAATTAGTCATAATAATAATCGGTCCTGTGGATTATATCCACATTTGTCAAATTTATAGATATTACCTCCTTAGTTGTGATCTTAATGCGAAACGTGTGTTCCAGGTTTGACAAAAGAATTACGGCTTTTGCCGAGGAGAAATTTCAGAGGGACGGGATCGATGTTAAAACAGGGGCTATGGTCGTCAAAGTGTCGGAAAAAGACATATCCACCAAAGAATTGAAGAATGGTGGGGCTATGTCCACTATGCCATATGGAATGGTTGTCTGGTCAACAGGAATTGGAACTCGCCCTGTCATAATGGACTTTATGAAGCAAATTGGTCAGGTAATATCTTCTGAGTTTTCTGCTGTTCCATTTTATCGTTATCGTTGACTTTATTTCAAAATTGAGTAGTACAAAAACGAAAAATTGTTGAGAACTGAATAATTCATGTTCCCCAGGGTAACAGACGCGTACTAGCGACAGATGAGTGGCTGCGAGTAGAAGGAAATGACAGCATATACGCACTCGGAGATTGTGCCACTATAAATCAACGCAAAGTCATGGTATTTATTAATCATTTCTTATATCTTAAAATCACACCTTAGCTCCATATCAAAATTAATGAAAGTGCATCTTATTATGCCACACGTGCTACTTTATTTAGCTTCTATAGACCTTTAAAACTGTGTTAAGGAGAAACTCTTCTTATTGAGTTTTGCCTTAATTAACTGCCACTCTTTTACATATGCAGGAAGATATATGTGCTATATTCAATAAAGCCGATAAAGACAGCTCCGGGACACTTACCGTAAAGGAATTCCAAGAAGTGCTTGATGACATATGTGAGAGGTATCCACAAGTAGGACTTTATTTAAAAAATAGACGGATGAGCAGTTTAGTTGATCTGTTGAAAGAATCCAAAGGGGATGCTGTGAAAGAATCTGTTGAAGTGAATCTCGAGGAATTCAAGTTAGCTCTTTCCCAGGTGGATTCTCAAATGAAGAACCTCCCGGCAACTGCCCAGGTTACAACTTACATTCACAATGATATTCCTGGTTTGAATTTGACTTTTTTCTTTTCCTTAGTTTCGTTAAAGAATTTTCTGCTTTTTCTGTCGATTGAATTTGATTTCAGGTTGCCGCACAGCAAGGCTCGTATCTTGCCGACTGTTTCAACCGCATGGAGCAGTGTGAGAAGAATCCGGAAGGGCCCTTGCGCTTCAGGGGTGAAGGACACCATCGGTTTCGCCCTTTCAGGTTTCACTTTGTTGTTTCTTCGTATTTGTATTTTTATTTACTTACCTTTTGTGTTTTCAAATTCAAACCTAATGGAGTATAACTGAGAGAATGTGTAATTTGAGTTTTTTACACAAATTTGGATTAGAATGTGGAAATTCATACTTGTTTGACCATCTCGTAAGCAATTTATAAAGGTACAAGCTTTTTGTGTCACATGATGTCTTTTCTTCTCATGTATATTCTATACTTTGCTAAAGGTACAAGCATTTTGGACAATTTGCTCCATTGGGAGGAGAGCAAACGGCAGCCCAGCTTCCGGGAGATTGGGTCTCGATTGGCCACAGCACTCAGTGGCTTTGGTATTCTGTGTATGCCAGGTGGGTCGGTCAGGTATTATTCTTAGGTTATATCAACACATTAAACTCCAAATAAAGTGCTTTTCTAATTGGATTTTGTTTGGCCGATCTTTTTATGTCTTCGTCTATGCAGCAAGCTAGTGAGCTGGCGTACGAGGGCACTTGTGATATCTGACTGGGCAAGACGTTTCGTCTTTGGAAGGGACTCGAGTGGTATTTAAGGAGAGAAATCTTGATCTTAGTGTCATTTTCCTTTTGTTTTGTTTTGCACAACTGTCCAAATTATCTCTTACATATCCGATGCATAGCTCTTGAATTTTTTGGAGTCTTTGTAGCCCGGGAAATGTCGTGTAAGTTTTGAAAGCAAAATTTTTGCAGTTAGATGTGAGATTTGTTGTGTATCATGTGTTGGAATAAATGGTTACTGCTTGTGGTGTATTACTATTATTATGAGCAGTAAAAAAAACTACATTTCTTTTGTTTAATAGAATGATGCTCAGGAGTCAGGGAGCAGTTGCGTATCCTTCAGTTTCTGCATTTTGATAGTATTTTGTGATTTATCAACTATAAAATTACACTCACAAAAATTCATCCGTAAAATATATATTGATTCATGAATTGTTATAAATAGTAGCATAATTAGCAGCACATTATAAGTTTAACCCAAATTTATGCTAACCAAAACATGATCATTTAATAAAACCAAACAGTTATCATATGGCTCGGCTCGAATGGCATCTGCAATCACTAAACATAGCACGTACCCAAGCCTGAGACATAACACTAAACATAGCACGTACCCAAGCCCGAGCCATAACAGAAGAATATATATGAGAAATAATTTTGTTTATCCCTAATCCAAATTACTGACCTGTACGAATATCATGAATGAAATAATCTAAAAGAATCAAACTAACCAAATACATAATTAATTGCCACAAGTGAAAAGCATGAACCAAATAGCACGCGATTGGGTTTAGCTATACAATTTGAGAACATATTCCAACAAAGTACACAGTACAAACATGCAAATTTCGAATTCCCAGTCTACCTTCAGCCTCACTAAAGGCCCTGATTTTTTTTCACAATATGCCTAAAACCTATTTTCACAAACTCTTGCTGCCTCAATTTCCTCATTGAACGAAANAAAAAAAAATAAAAAAAAAAAAATAAAATAAAAAAAAAATCAAACAGAATAACAATGAACAACGAGATCAATGGAACATGGCCATCCTCATCATCGTTTCATTTGTCCAAAAACCGGACTTCATCAAGGGCCTTACTTGTTCCCGATTTTCTAACCAAAACTTTCAAGATTGTGACCGATCCAAGCACCAACTCCATCATTTCTTGGGCTCGCTCGGGCGAAAGCTTCATCATTTGGGATCACATCAAATTCTCCGTCGAAATTCTTCCCAAATACTTCAAACACAGCAACTTATCGAGCTTCGTCTACCAGCTCAACAACTACGTACGTTAATTAAGTATCCACATTTATTATTCTATTACATGCTCTTAATTTATTCTTTTCTTTGCATGGATTAGTTAATAACTTAATATTAATATGTTATCTTATGGCAGTGTTTTAGGAAAATTGGAGTGGACCATCAATGGGAGTACGAAAACCCAAACTTCCAAGCCGGAAAAGAATACTTGCTCACGAGCATTACAAAACGGGGGCAAAACGGGGAAATGACGATACGGATAAACCCTTCCCACCGGAATATAAACAAAAACGCGGTGGAGATTAAGACGAACATGCTCAAGAATGGAATAAACGAGTCGAAGATGGAAATCGAGAAGCTCAAGGCCCGGCATTCGCGCATGGAGTCTCATGTCAAGAAATTCGAGTCGGAATTGAGAAAGTCCGAAGGAAAGTCGAGGAGGATGAGGGCTTGCTGGGCCGCGGCATGCGAAGAGATATTTAAGATGAGCAAAAATAATAATAATAATAATATTGTGTTTGGTGATGATGAAGTGAAAAGGAAGAGGAAAATTGAAGGTAATGATAATAATGTGGCTGATTATGAGTTTTTGAAGAGAATGATATTGCAAGAAGATGATGATGATGATGACGATGATGTGGTTGTGTGTGGAAATGAAGGAGGGAGTGAGATGGCAGATAAGCAGGCCAAGATTGCTAAGGATTTGGAGGGCCTGATTGCAAATATGGTTGATCAAGATGGTAATTGAAGAAATTAATATTGTTATAATTGATAATTAGTAAGTATCCTCTTAGATGGGTCTTTTTTTTTTCTTTTTTTTTTTGGGANGTTACGTCAAGAATCATATTGATATTTGTTTGTTTTAGATTTTGAGTGGAGACTGTAAATTACAAAGCATGTCTTTCTAGGTTTGATATATATGGTCATGAAATTATTCAGTTTATTATTGTCTTTTTTACTATGAATAGGGTTACAAACGAGTAGAGCGACTCGCGAGCGTTCGAGGCAACGCTCGATTCGAGTTGGATCATTTCGAGTTCAAGCTCGAAAATGTAGTTTGTACGCTTGATCGTGTGTCGAGCCACTCGAATGTGTGTAAGATTATCTAGATACTCTTTATTGAACAATATTTTATAATTAAAACTTTCGACTAAATTTCGAGCGTTTGTGTGTTGTTGCCGAGCTGAGCCTCGAGCAAGACATACTCATGAAGCTCGAGTAGGTGTAAAAAAATCGAGCATGGCTTGATAAGGTCAATAATCGACTCGTCTCGTCTGATTGACATTCCTAGTGTCTAAAGTGTTGATGGGTAATTTTGAAACAAGTGTTGGGGCTATTTTGATGTTTTCTCATGAAACCTTGCTTTGGAACAAATGCAAGGGACTATATACTTTGTAATTTTGTCTTCAAATCTTGATTTGTGATTTGGTTTAATAATTAACTAGTACAACACCTACATATAATACGGGTGCTTGTAAAAAAAATATTCTTAAATTTTGATATTAATGAGAAAAAGTGTTTTAAAATTTAAATACTTCTTTTACAAAATATATATATTATTATATGTTTTAGAATGTTACTTGTTATTTGTGTGACTTACATGTGTTATATTATAACAAGTTTTCTAACTTATATCATATAACTACTTGATACATAAATATATTAAAACATAAATAATTTTATTTTTTTAAGAAATATTAACAAATAATTTTATTTTTGTTATAAAGATAAATATAATTTATTTATTTTATACATATAATATCGATGACAAATCGAAGCTCATCAAGCGATGATTTACTTGATATATTATATATGTAAAACTGATAAAAAATACAAAAGTTATTAACTTTTAAAATACATGTAAAATTCAATAGTTATGATAAAAAATAATATTAAAATGCAATTAATCATCGTTACTTGCGATTTAAAAAGCCTTATTCACAATTATATCATTCGGTTAATAAATCGTGAAGGATGATATGAATTTTTTACACTTGATTAATCATCAACTAAATAAGGAATTTGCTTTAGTTGTGTAAAAAAGAAGGAAGAGAACATAAATTCGTTTGATAGAGGAAAAAATTATTACATCACTTATAAAATAAAAGAAGTAGATAAATTAATTAAATAGTGAAGACAAACGGGTAATTTAGGTAATTTATTTGTTAATTCTTCCCCCTTCCAAATTCTCCAATTTTAAATGGTGAAAGAAAATGAGAGGTGAATTTTTCTCTTAAATTTTTTTCTTCTCCTTCCCAAAATTGCAATCACTATGCAAACCAAACAAGCCAAAACCGGTCTAATCTCATGATTGATATAGGTTTCAACTAATACTTTTTTTACCAAAGTTAAATTACAACATAAAAAAATAATTCAACTATTATTGCCCTTGAGAATAAGTTGATAGTTGATAGAAACATGTTATAGCTTGTGCTCAAATTTATTAATCTAGGTTTAAATTTTAGGGCACAATGGCCCTTCTTTTATTTCAGAGGTATCAATTTAGATTGTGCTTGATCCTGCAGAAACTCACAAATAAGGGTGACAAATTGCTGTCACAACAAACATGAACATGACATGACACGATTAGAAAATATGATTATAGAAACAAATGATATAATGGCACAACACGGTATAGCACAACTCAAATTATGATACTAAAAATACGGAATAAAAAATTTAATTAAGGATATTCGTTTAAAATTTTGAGTGACATTTCAATACTTTTTAAATCTGAGACTCTTTAATATTTTAGATTTAAGAAAAATCCTTAAAAATCTTATGTTTGGAGATGATATTATGTGTTAGATTTCGTATAAAGTTTTGTTCTTAAATTCTCAGCAAATCATACAAAGTCCAGAGAAATTAAAGTGATGATAAATAAATTGAATACCTCGTGACTTTTAATATTTTTTTGAATCTCAAATGAATACTTCTTGACTTTTACAAATTTTAAAAAGTCCAAGTTAAATAAATCATGATTCTTAAATCCCAAAAAAGTTTTGAAGATAGGTACACCATCTTCGTTGATCTTGGACTTATTACTATATTATTGATCAAGTAAAATATATCAAATGGAAACACAATAGTAAAACACGAACACGACACATCAGCATGATTTGCCACCCCTACACATAAATAGAACACTAAGGGAAGTCATATACCCGAATTATATATACAATGCTATTTTAAATTTATATTATATAATTTTAATTTTTCATACATTGTCTTCATTTATAAAATTGCAATTATATATGTAGTGTGTGATTACTAATTCATCAAAGATTCTTGCGCACACTTAAGATCTAATTCTTACGGTTTTATTGAAACATAGCAAAACCGCTAATTCTTATTTCAACCACAATCTATATATAAATATAGTTAATTTTATTGAAATATATGAAGTTAAGTTTGCATCTATAATTTAGATCCAATCAATTAAACTTTGCCTTGAGTATGTGACAACTATTTATGGTCTATAAACATTATAATTAGATCCTATCAAGAACTTTTAGCACCTAAATCTCAGATGCTCAATTAACCCTACAATGAATAATTGTAATTAGGAGCTGCTAATGCATGTTCTTGTTTAATAATACTTAATTAATTGCACTCGGTCATATGTGCGTTGTGGTCTATCGAATTGTGGTCTATCAATTTAATTGGTTAACAAGCTGTAAAATAATTTTGGTAGAGATTTTGCTTTCCTTAGTGTACAACCTTCATTATTCATCCTTTGGTTACGTACGACGACGTGTAGGTAGCCCAACTTGTCAAGCAAAATTTGTGTACTGGCCCATTATTTGTACTACTTAGGCCCATAATAATTAAGCCTATGAGGCCTAGGTGGGTTGCATTTCAATCGACACAATAGGGTGTTCATTTTTATTTTTTATTTTATAATATATTTTGTTCTTTAATTTTACAAATAATGGCATTGTTTCATATTTCAAATGAAAATAAGTATAATAAATTTTTGGATTATGGTTCATCATATGTTATTTCCTTATAATATTCGAACTAGAAAAATATGTTCAATTTATTTATTTAAAAAATTAAGACCAAACGATTCACTTAATCTTGACTCTTATATTAGATTTATAGTTTATATTTGTTTTGGTTGAGTTAAGTAACATAATGTTGATGTAGTTTATGAAAATAGATACCAAAACAAGATAATGTATTTTTCATGGATGAACAGATAACAGATTTGTCTTAAAAAATATGGGATTTAACCTCAGTATACATATATACTNCAAAGTTTTTTCAATAATCAAATATAATGAATATTTCTGAAGCAATTGCCTTTCCAACTAACATATACAACCTTTTAAACAAGAACTCATCACCTGTATGCTTTCTCTTTTAGGAGCAATTCACTCCACAATCCAACAAACTATATTTTTTGTTTTTGTTCATTTGTTACATTGAATTGTCCTCCTCTTTTAATTTATAGTTATGTAAACTATAATTGCTACTCAATTTATTATTTTATTGTTATTATTATTGCACATATTACATAAATAAAGCATGTCATTTTATCACATAACTATAAAATTATTTTTAAAATATAGAAATACAATATATTTTGTATGTTATTTAATACAAATATTATTATGATAGATCTTTTGTTACGCTGATTAAGTATATTTCTATATTCAAATGTCATATTCAAAAGGGCCTTAGACCCATATTTTGTCGTGGAATGTAACTAGATAGTCTAGATTTAAAAGGGCCTTAGACCCATATTTTTGCCCCACTAAATTCTCATATATTAACAAATCACTACACTTTTATTCCCAATCTTTCCCCATTTCTCTTGAGCTATAATGTATCACCCTTTTTAACTTAACTCATCAACTTTTATTTATATCTAAAAAAATAAAATAAAAATAATAGTAATAACTCAATGTTGAATTAACAAATGTTTTTTTTTTTTTTACAACTTGGGCCTCACATGTTGGGGTGATGAAGCCAAGAGAAAATTGAAAGCTACTCCTTTATTCTATCTTTTATCCTTTTCACCTAATTAAAAAGGATTGTCTTTATTATGTATGGGGTTGGTCCTTTTTTTTAACAACAAATATATAGCTTTGTCCCAATTTGCTAATTGACCCCAAATCAATCCTCTAATTACTATACTATATTATACATCTTTTTGAGAGGTGGTGCACTAGTTATCTTCATAAGATATGCATAAAAATTTAATTTTAAACATATATTCATAAAACATTCCAACAAATGATGTTAACTGGGTAAAATCGACTTACCCATATACGCGGTGATTTTATCATTAAACTACGCCATTCATAAAAATTCATATGATTATACATATTGATCTAACGGTTAAAAAATTCTACCTACAAAAATTCAATATTCATAGTTGACATACTTTTAACACATTTATATACACTTACAATCACTATAGCTAGGCATACCAAATCTGTGAAAATTGTTTAACTATATTAGAATTAGCATTTTCAATAAATTAAACGTTTTCACAAGTCGCAAGTCAACTATTTATATTGTTGTGAGAAAACAGTACACTTTAGAAACGAAATAAAGAAAAGTATAATATATTTTATACTATAAATAAAGTGTATTTAATAATATTTCATAAACCGAAAATAGGTAAAAGAGCTAGAGCGGTTGCCCCACGTTATCACACGTACCATAAAATCGTCCCACCATCCCAACCGACCCCAAAATCTCAAACTCGGATTCTGCTACATTACTAAAATAACCCTA